TACAAATTTAACATCATCTGATATCTGACGGCAAGCAATATTATAAAACCCTTTATCACATTTTAATTCCTTTGATACTTTCGTTGTCCAAATTTAGAATTTGGCCGTTGGACTCCTTTGCAATTTGTCTTTCTATTCAGATCTGTCTAGTTAACTATCCCAGCGAGCTAAGTTAAGTATGCTTTGAAACGATAGTAAAGTGTATCATTTTCTACTCTCATTCTTTTCTCCCGCCCGACAACAGAGGACTATCGATCACTAGCCTTACTTAGTCCTTTGTCAGTAACGCTGTATTTGAAAAATGTTTTTGCGTGAATTGCAAAAAGCGTTTTGATGACAAGTTTTCGAACACAAAGCACTCGTGAGGGGTGAAGGGCGAAGGAATGTGATCAGGCTTTGTATTAGGCGTTTTAATATTAGCAGGAACGCGTTAACAGCTGGTTGTGTTCTCGAGAAACGGCCGGGTTAGAAAAAAAAGAGATTGTTGCATATTCACAATTTAGACCAAGTAAATGCAATGGATTTTTATCATTTCATGCACGAAATGTTACCATAACTGTTCTTAGCTTACTATCAGTCCGGAATATCCCTAAATTTAAGGACAGGGCCAACTGGTCACGCGACACTTTTCAACCAATGAGAAGGCGCGCTTGTGTTTATCAACAAACAAATCAAAACATCGCCCCAGTGATCAAAAATTTTCAAAACAACGGACGGAGTCGGGCAGAATCAGTTATCGTTTCGAGGTTCTCAGGCATATTTTTAAGACTTTTCATGAGGCATACACAATTTTTTTAAGTGGACAGCGTATCGGAAGCCATATTGGAAGTGTCTCGTGAAATATTCAGCACATTTTGTGGCTTATTCTTCTTTTATCTTTTAAACAACGCGATGTATAGGAGAGATTTTGGTCGGCCTTCAAGGTAGGTGAACAAGTATCTATTATTTTTTCGATTCACAGATTTTTTTTACGAAGTTCTAGATATTTTTCCTCGATTGTCATATCGCCTAACTTTTATCATGTTGAATGTGGGGGTGGCAGACAACCTAGAATTTTGGTAGACAATTTTTGAATTCCGAGGTCCAAAACACGTACGTTTTCCACTCCCGGGTTTCTCACAAAAGCCGTGTTATTACTTTTTTTCGCATTAGTACGAGCCTTTGCCTTTTTTTTCAAGGCCAAAACAACTTTATTAGTCTTATGGATATTCACGTCCAACATCTCGCCTCACTTTGCCGAATTTGCGGGTATGAAATTGAAGATCATAAGCGCAAGGTAGATACTAACCGCTTTGTTTATGAAATTCACTAATCTGGAAAGATTTAATGTTGTTGGATTCTCCAAATGTTCATCCGCCGTTAAAAAAAAATCAAAGAAACAAGGCAAATCTCAATTGTAAAGGCTGTATTTCGCTACTCATTGAACATGCACTGATTATCTGGGATAAAATTAAACATTGCAGGTACTACAGCAAGCAAAGAAAGCACCAGATGCGTGAAGTCAACATGAAACAACACAAAAAAACAAACAAGAACCACTTTCTATTCTTGTTATGATGTCTGGTTCTTTGATTCTTGTCCTGTAGAAGTTAATAGGTGGTACCAATGCTGCTTTGTACGATCGCAACAAATTTTCACACTCTCTCCAAGGCTAAATTTACACGGGACGAGTTTGCTTCTGTCAAAAATCTTGCAAGCCATGCCAGTGAAGACACGACCTCTGCGATCGGTCCGGAATCAGTTCGCATTCCTTGCAATTATTAATGCTCTTATTCTCTTACATGACATGTTTTCTTTGAAATATTAAATGTGAAACCTAGACGAGTACTGTAAGCTCATCTTTAATTCTGCCCGACTCCGTCCGTTGCTTTGAAAATTTTTTATCACTGGGGCGATGTTTTGATTTGTTTGTTGGTAAACACAAGCGCGCCATCTCATTGGTTAAAAAGTGGCGCGTGACCAGTTGGCCCTGTCCTTAAATTTAGGGATATTCCGGACTGACTATAAAACATATACGCAGGTCATTCGCAAAAAAATGTAAAATTAACAAATCGACCACAATCTTCCACGGTCTACACTCTTATAGGTCATAGAAATGACGCCATAAAATGTTCAAAGCTTAAGTGGAACCACGAGCCGAATTTTATGGCGTCATCTACGGTCTATAAGAGTGTAGACCGTGGAAAATTGTGGTGGACTTGTTTCTTACAGTAACATTTATTTTTAGTTTCCGGCGAAGTTTCTCGGAAAATCACGCGCGTATTAAACATTTTATGACGACATTTCTATGGTCTATAAGAGCGTAGACAATGGAAAATTGCGGTCGATTTGTTAAATACATCTAAATAAGATTTACATCCTCACTAAACTGCATGGCAACTGATTAAACGAGAGTTATCCCACTGCCTAAAAGCAACTCAAATTCAAAGCGACTCTAAAGTAAAATATTTCCTGTCTTCCTAGTGACAGTCGATGATCCGGACGATTGTGAAGATTTATGATTGTGATAATAATAATAATGACATTGATGATTATGATGACGATGATGATGGTAATGATGTCTTCGATGATGTTATAGCTAGTGGATTCCATTTACCTTAGCTTATTATCGTTTTACTGCTATCTTTCATCTTTCAGCTTTACTGACTAATACTAAAGCCATGTCATTCCAAAAGCAAATTGAACATATGCACCAGAAAATCCAAGAGCATAACGAAAAACTGAAGCCACTGAAGGAAATGGAGCTTTTTGTTCTCGACAACTCTCTTCGAGAAAGCACTGTGGCACAGCTTCGAGGCCATACTCTTGAAAACAAGTGGAAAATATATGGAGAGGTAAGCCTTGTAGTATTCTTGATGGGCCCATAGTGAAAGTCACGAGCGGGGCCTGGAAAAGAATATCAGCTTGTCAGTCTACGATTCACGTCTTACACTTTCTGTTGTCCTCATTCTTCACTTGCCCTTTTTGACTTATTTTATTTACTTTGCTCTTCTATTCTCTACCGGCCACTTGTCTCTACCCTACACCAACACAATCTACTCATACTCCAGGTCCGTAGCCAGGTTTTTTAAGGACACTTCAAGGGAAGGTGCGATCCGATATGAGGAGACGGAGCAAACGAGGCCGAGGGCGCAAGTCTCTGGGGTGGGGGGAGGGGGCAGTTAGGTTGTCTGAAACTGCATTTCTAAGACTGCGTTTTGAAAAACTCTGTATTTCTCAAACTTTTAATCTTCAATTTTTTTTTTCAAATAATGTACTTTATTTTTGTAGTTTTTTATAGTGACAATACTAGACGTCACTATTTAAAAACAAAGTAGAAAGAAAGTTATAAATCCGTATTATTCGCTGGGTTTTCTGCATCATCATGATCTTTCAATAGCTCATGCTTCCTTGGATGTTTCTTAGAAATAGATCAATCAAAGACTTCTTTCAGATCAATGTATGTTAGATAGTAGACATAGTGATGTGTATAAGAGCTAGTTCCGCGAATACTTCTTTTTTGGTCTCAGAAAACAGCAGATATTTTGAGCTATCCTCAAAGACAAAGGACCACACAAAAAAAGAAACAATACATACCTTCATCTCTTTCAAGAAAAATGCAAGAAAAAGGATGCGAGTTCGACCACTTGTAATTGGCAGGAGCCCATTAGTGTACTGACTTAAAACTGAGATTTGTTTCAGCCACATAGTGCCAATTCAGCCCTGCAGGCCAAAGTCTGATTCAGCCCCTCCTGGAGCCATTTGAGCATAATTTGGGCCAAAACAGCTCAATCAAAAGGCTATTCCAGTCCACGCTGGGGCCCATTTCAGTTGTTGTGTCCTTATCAGCCCCAGGTAATTGGCCTGTATTGGCTCTAATTTAAGGGAGCCAAATTAGACTCAAACGTAGAACTGTAGTTTACTCACCGAAGGGGCCCCATTTTTAGAGCTAAAACAGTTCTTTCTGATTTACAGTGTGGCTCTTGTAAATGGCTTTTGAGCAGCTAATTGGATAATTGGACAACGAGAATTTTTCAGATCCTTGATAATGGCTGATAAATGAGTAAGGTCAACATTAAGCCAGTCATAACGGCTGTACTGCTCTCGCCACAAAAACAAAACAAAGTTAAATGTAATGCTGCTTCCTAGCTAGCAAGTGTCGTAATAACCGCAAAGGTTCGCGCTCCAGTCCTAAGACTTGCACTATTCACTTGAAAGCTTTTACACGAAGGCTAAAACATGTTTTGTGGAAAGCGTGAAGTTTTTTAACACTTTCACAGTATTTTCAAGTTCGCTACACAATCAGTGAACCAGAATTAAAAAGTACTATTAATCCACTGTGTTTTAAATCCTTGGTCAACAAAAAAGTGGACCTCTGTGGCCTCACAGCCCCCTCCCTACGCCCCTGTACTCCGCTCTGCATTACGTCAGTCTACTTTACTCTATTCTTCTCTTCTAGAATCATTTATACTCTTCTCTACTCTGTTCTACCCTATATACCCTGCTCAATGTACTCTACACTACTCTACCCTAATCTACTTTACTCTACTCTGCTACCCTCTACTCTACTCTGCCGTAATTTACGTAACTCAAGGTTATCGCTATTACGTCGCTCTACTCTACAATTCCCTACTCTACTAGACACATCTTTATTTAACCTTCCCGAGGAACATATTAGATTTTAGATTGTCTTCGTTTTCCTCTGTTTTAACCAGGTGAAGAAAGCTGGCTTCCAGCATATGATTGTTGCTTCATTTTCCCATATGACTCGTGTGGGTGACACCTTCTGTCGCAAGCTAAAAGAAGAAGGAGAAGACTTCGACAAATTATACGCCTTCGCGGAGTTGGTGGAACCTGGTTACAAAAATAGAGTGCCAGACGTCGAAGCTATTCCTGTTGGATTAAAAAAAATGAAGGAATTTGGAATCAAACACCCAATCATTGAAGTGGATTTTGTCTACAGTGGAATCGACTATGAGAAGTTCACGTCTGATGACATCAGCAAGCTTTTGTCTGAGCGCATGAGATGGGTTCGTAATAATCTTTCCAAGGAGGCGCGCATATTTATTAACGTACGCGACTTTCCCGCAGCCATGTTGAGTAAACCAGAACGCATTTTTCAAGTGGTTCATTACTTGTCTTCTTTACCACAAACTGAGCGTCCCTTTGGTTTGATGTACGAGGATCCATCAGGTAAATCTATGCCAGAACAACTTGGAGTCTGGACGGCAGCCATTCGTAAAGAAATGGACGACTGTGGTTTTAAAGATGCAAAGCTGTTGGTACATGTTCACGAGCAATGGGGAATGGCAGATAGCAGTGTGTTGGCATGCCTCGCCAGTGGTGCAGATGGTATATGGGCAAGCTTGTGTGAAGAAGGCGCCGCTATGGGTCATTCCTGTTCAAGCGTGACCATAATGAATTTAGTCCGCCTCGGAAACAAAAAGTTTTACAACAGTACAATTGTACGTACCTCCGCAAAGCGGCCCAAGAGATCACCACAATCACAACTGGGCTTGATTCAGGTCACAGGCAGGTGGTGTATGGGGAAAGAGCTCTAGATTTGGTCTTCGGAATGCCCAACTTCCTTTTAAACAAGAACGAATTTGACCTTGCTGAGTTCTTTGGTGAGGAGCCTCCCTTACGAATGACTACTTTGGCCTCGCCCCAGATGATCGCAGAAAAACTGAGGCGTGTCTTTGGCGAGGACCCACAGTTCACGGAGGAAAGAGGAAATATAATGAAGGAAGTAATGTTGGAAGACCTTAAACATAACAGAAAAGAGGAATACATGAGTGCGGTTGGTCTGGCGATATTGTTTGATCGGTCTGGTGGCCAACTAACCTCTGCCATGAGCGATATCATCGCCCAGGATGATCTCGAAGAAGCCCACGCGCAACATTTGATTACTGAAATTCGGAAGATCTGGGATGAATGGGATCTTAGGGAAGAGAGCCAGCAAGATGATGCGTTGGAGTTCGATTCATTCTACAATGGCTTCTTGGCACCATACTTCAGCTGCTATAGATGCGATGAAACGAAGCGTGCTCTAAAAGCCATTGACATGGATGAAGACGGAAAGGTGGATTGGAACGAATTCGCCTTGTACTTGAAGTGGGCCGTTCGCCAGTACCCTGAGACCAAGACTGCTGAGGATCTGCTGTCCATTGCCTTCCGCAAGGGCCTTATCCCCGCCATGCAAGACGTGGTTCTCCAGCAAACTGTAGACGTAGAATAAGAAAGAAGCACAAAAAAAGCTCAAACAACGACTTGAGATAACCTTGTGAGCATTATCTGCTATCCATTGCCTTCCGTAAGGACCTTATCCCAGCCATGCGAGATGTGGTTCTTTACCAAACTGTAGACGTAGAATAAGAAAGACTTCAAAAAAACTCAAAGAAATCATTTAGATAGCCTTGTGAGTATTATCAGAAATAAATCATGAGATGGTTTTCGCTGTTGTCCTCCTAAGAAATGGTGCATGATTAAGTCCCATAAAGTCCGAGGGTGTTTCCCAGAAAAATGACGAATTCCCTCCCCTGAAAGTTTTGAAAACGTCGCAGAATGCATGTTACAGCTTTGTGCGCGTAGCCTTAATTCATTTTCATCCCTAAAACTAACTCGAATAAATACTTCTTCTCATTAATTTCTTGGTTTGATTCCTTGGATAGCCATCCAAAGATACGATTATCTTTCAAGGTAGTTATTTTTAACACCCAAAGCTGACCAGTCCACAAATGTTTTCCCCCTGAAAGCTCGCACGACTACCGCAGTTATTATTTTTTTATGAGGGGGTCCACCTCCCAGGACTATAAGATTTATCAATGGATGTTTGGGCCATAAAAGTGGCTTTGAGTATCGACACAAGTGTTGTGTCGACCAAAGAGTTAACGAAAACTACTCTGAAATAAACTGGTAGGAGGCGAACCAGTTGGCTGTTTACAAGCGAGGCCGAGGATTTGAACTCGGGACTACCGAGAGCAAATCGAGCTCCCATTATTCCTGCTTACGTGCTCAAACCCAGGGAAATAGAAAAAAGGCGCAGCCGGCCAGCTTCCAGGCGTTTGGATTATTGCGAAACACTTTAGCCTTGATATAACTTCGCCTGATCAATACAAATGATGGCCCATTTTCGAGTTTTAAAAACCCTCACCCTTAAAACAAAGCCAAGTGAAAACACCTTTCTCGTGAAAATAGGTTGCCCCCTTTAGGTAAATTACCCATAGCCAGTCAAGTGACTTTGGGTAACGCTGGTGAATGGCAAGGGTAAATTTTCGTTCAAGGGACGGGACCAGCTGCTGGACTCAACGAGGGTTAAACGTTTGAGGCGATTACAATCGACATCAAGGCGCCCTGGTGAAAAATGATGAGAACCTCAGCCTTAGTGTTCAATGCAGCTGTGGGACCTCGGGACCGAGTTTGCGGGACCAGGTTAACTAGCAGAAAAAGATTTGCAGCTTGCATAACAAATAGAGGCGTGTGGGCGTAGGTCATTATTGAGTTTACGCAAAAGGACGGCAGAAAGGAGAGTACGGCAAAACGTGCTGTAACGCTTGTGTGTGACAAACGTGACAAGGATATTACTTGTGTGCTTTGTCGTGATCGTCAGGGGCGGATCTAGGATTTTTTTTAGGAGGGGGTGCACTCGTCTCTTGCTCTACTTCAACACCAATAAACCACATAGTTTTGTTTTTTTTTTGCAGAATACCAGTTGTATTAGAAAACCGCAGGTCACCTCAGGGGGGGATGCGCACCCCCTGCACCCTCCCCCTAGATCCGCCCCTGATCTTCACTTAAAAGCTTTTCTGGTCATTTACTAAAAGATCTGTTTAAAGGAGGGCGAAGTTTGACGAGACATTTTTTCAAACAAAATTATTAACGTCACGCTTGTCACACAAGGTTTGTCGTCTTCTTTCTTCTCCCATCCTGTCAGGATGGCAGAAAGAGGAGGACGGCAAAACGCTTGTGTGTGACAAACGTGACGGGGCTATTCCTTGTGTGTTGTAATCTTCACTAAATGTCAATGTTTTTTGATCTTTGTACGTCATACGCGTGACGAACCCCTAAGAACGTCTGCGTGGGAGGCTTTTCTTTGCTCTCCCGTCCTGTTGTGTAAGTTCACTTTTAGAGAGTTTACGCAACAGGAAGGCAAAACGCGTGAGTGTGACAAACGTGACGGGGCTATTACTTGCGCGTTTTGTCGGGAATTCACTTTACGTTGAGTTTTTTGGGCTTAAATGCAGAATACCCTATTCTGCGTAGCCGGCTACGCAGACTAAGTGAGGAATAAATTAAAAACTGTATGCTTTGTTACACGCTGAAATGCGAAGTTTGGCCGAAGGTTTTTTTAAAAAAAATTATTGTCGCGCTTGTCACACAAGGTTTCTCTTGCATGGGACCTCCATTGGGACTTGGGACTTGGGACAAACTTGGGACCAGGTTACCCAGTAGAAAGAGGGAGACTGGACCAAGTTAGATCTTGCATAACAATGTTGACTAGATCCCGAGCGTTTTTCATAGCATCAATTCTGCGAACTATTCGGCCGGTTTTATTTTCCAAGACGGGAAATACACTTGAAAGCTCCGTTGAGGTAGTTAAACCTCCTTTAGAAGACATGGGTGACGGTAAAACAAAGACAGCAACTTTTGCTATGAGCTGATTTTGGTTCCCTGAGGCCCAGTTCGGATGTGCTCATGGCGTCGTCCGAACTAAGGTTGGATACACAGGCGGATCAAAGCCGTTTCCGACCTACACCAGCCTGTAAGTTTACGAACAGGGTCGAGGGCTTAACAGAAAAATCTTTCATTTTCTTTTTTAGTTTTACTTTGTGTTGGAGGTTATATGTTCATTGTAAAATGAGAAATTTCACGTTGTACTTCGATCTTGCTTGTAAATTTCTTGAGGTGACAGTTACATAAGCTTAACATCGCAATGTCATTTGTACAAGTATGTTCTCTGTAAGTGCTGAGTTCAACGGCAAAATGCATGCGATCTTTGAAGTAAGAGCCAAGTTTGGCTTGTTGTGAAAAACCTTATCTTTCGATGCTGGCCACAAAACCATCTGTAGAAGTGAATTTTCGTAGACATCGGTCAGCGAAAGGTGGATATTGTAAGCATATTTTTTGCTTTCTAAGCCTTGTATTTTCAATTTTTTTCTTCGATCAAACTGAAAACCCCTTTTGAAATGAAAAATGTTTCAGACCCTTTAGAATTTTGTAAAATGGGGGATAAAGTACGTCTACAAACCTTATAATTTGCTGAGTCAGGTTGCGTTTTTGAATATTGTTGGATGTGGTTGGGGTAGAATCATTGTGCAATTGCTGAGTCACACTTAGTCTTAAACATTCTCCCCAGCAAGGGGGAGGGGGGGGGGGACACAAGGGGAGTTTGGGTTGAGGTGTTTCACCAAGGCCTTGAAACCATGACTTGTTTTAAGACAAAAATTGTTTACTTTTCTTCGAGAAACCTTAGTTTATAACCCCTGATTCATTTCTTTTTACAACTAACATCATGGACAAGGGTTTTTGGAAAAAATTTATTAATGCTGGGACCACAAATGTACACTGCTTATTATTCTTTTGGCCTTGAAATAACATTGTTTTTAGTTCAAGTAAACACAAACTGTAACAGTGGAGTAGATGCAACATTATAGTTTGATTATCCCAGAAATCAAGGGAATAACATTGTTTGTGTTTTTCTTTTATCTAACAGCGGGGACCATACAGAAACTGTGCAACTGGAGTATGATCCAAACTGCACAACATACAGTGATCTGTTGACACGGTTTTGGAAAGATCATGATCCTACAGCTCTACACAAAGCACAGTACATGTCAGCAATATTTTACCATGATGAAGAACAGAAGAAGCTTGCAGAACAGACACGTAATGAGCATCAGAAGACTCTAAGAAGGCCCATTGTAACCAAGATTCTTCCTGCAAAAAGATTCTATGATGCAGAAGAGTATGCCAAATATAATTTCATTTACGTTAGCTTGTCACTAAGTGAACAACCACATTGGAAAAGTGACTTCTCTTTTTAATGTGTCTCTAGAAAAGCAGTGGGGATCCCAGGGATAAGGATGAAGACTGGAAATTCCCCCCCACCCTCCACCCCCCATTATATATACATATATATAAAAAACATGCAAACACACATGCACACCAGAAAGGAGCTCATTGGGGTAGAGGATTTGAAAAAGATTTTTTGAATGAAAGGGTCATATTTCTCTCCGTCTAATTTACTTTTCTAGGGAGGAAATTTATGTTTGTCACTCTTAAGACTTAAAGAGATAATATTACGTAATTATTGTTCAAATATTTTTCTTTTCCTTTCTCAGTTATCACCAAAAGTATCTGCTGCGTCAGAAACCCTCGCTGCTTAAGAGCCTTGGGTTAAACAGTGTGGAACTAATAAATTCATCTGTAGCAGCAAGATTAAATGGCTACATGGGAGGCTATGGGTCCCTGAAAGATTTTGAAGCTGAAGTAGATGATCTAAAAATCACTGATGCACAAGCTGATATGGTGCGCAAGATCATAAGTAGCAGGCGATTCTAAATGGCGTTAAAATTGTTCTCCTCAGCATAAGGTTCTGCAACCTAAAAATACTTCTAGTTTTTCAAACCACCATGGAAAAGGCAAATTGGTTTCAGTTACAGTATCAGGAGGTTTGAAAAATTGGGGGTCAAATTACAGTGTTTGACTGATGAAGAGAAGTTACAGGTTTTATCCAAACTTATTTGAAGAAGGATAGCTCAATGCTAAAAATAATAATAATGATAATAATATATGAAGGTCCCACTATACTAGGTAGTTTCTCTTGCAGTGTTTATGCAAGTTCTCGCTTAGTGTGACACTCACTGGAATGAACATGTCTGGCAACACTGCAGCAATCTTAAGAAATAGTTTAAATGAATATTATTCTGTTTAGTTTGCAAGAAAAATTGCAGGGAATGTAAAGCTAGGTAACAGTAGGGTGCAACAGAAGTGCTGTTTGATGCCTCGTTGGCCTAGCATATTTTCATTGCAAGTTGTCTGATGAGCAAGCAAATTCATTTGGGTTTGGTAGGCCTGTATAACTGCTACAGGCTAGTAATCTTCAGCAACAGAATGTTCAAAGGGAAGGCCATTATTTAATTAATTTCCATCACACCCAACTCTTGTGTGACATGTATCACAATGGTGCTACAACATTGCAAGAAAAATATTCCCTAGTGGAATAGGATCTTTAAGTCAGTCTTTGAATCAAAATGGTTTCCTCTCTTCCTGTATTTATTCATTTTCATTCATTCATATGCAGTTCACTCTCTGCAGGCAAGTGTTATTTTTTTATCAAGCTCTGGTCCTAGTAGAGTCCAGTTTAGAGCAAGTTGCTTGTTATGTGACATGGAGATGTTATTTTGTGTAATGTTATTTATTAACTTTAGTTTCCAATATGCACTCTGATTTTGTAAAGGTAACCATAATGGGTATCAAGTTGTTATTTGGTACTATTCTCACTGTTTATGAAGTCCTGTGGTGTAAATTAGATTCTGTGGGACTGAAAATTCTTACTGTGAGGTAGTGCTGATAGTGGTGTGATGTTGATTGTCGTCAGAGTGCATTAAAATACTGTAGTGCTTGGTCATAAAATGTTGAAGAAAAATGAGACTGTAGTAGGTCTGAAAATAAACTGAAAAACCAGATGTGGTTTCCAATGTTTTTCATTTAGATATTTTTTACGTGTAAATTTTCCGTTGATTTTTTCAAACCCGAACCACTGGACTTTGCTTGTATAACTGGTATTATCCTTCCATGTGGGTGTCACCCATGGTTAGATTCATTCCCTTATTTATTTATTTATTTATTTATTTATTGATATCCTTTTTTTTGGAACAGAAACAAGCTAACATAGGCCTTGGCCAGTGGGGGTATAAGGGGGTGGGGTGGGGGGAGGCAGTACTCCAATATCATAGACTATACTGGTATGTGCCTCTCTGAACAGGGTGTAAAAATTACCCATTTTCTCTGTCCAGAGGAAGTAACAATACCAAAACAGGGTCTCTTTCCCACCCATAATCCCTGAATATTCTCTATCCAGGTCTAGCATAGGTGTGTGCTTCCCTCATTGTTTTCCACTTCCACTCATCTCTATTTGTCTGGAACAGGTCCAGAGTCTCAAAGACTCAGCAACACATCCTTATAGTTGTAAATTCAAGGGACCCCCCCCCCCCCCCCCCCCCCCCCCCCCCCCCCCCCTGGTCGCACTCCCCCAAAAAAACAACAACCTCACTATGTATAAATTATTTAACAAAAAAAACCACCCACAAAGCGAGGCGCCGTTTTTCTCATTCCTAATAATGCAGATCTATAAACACAACAAAAACAAAACAAAAAAAAAAAAAAGAGAGAAAGAAAAAAGCAAAAACGAATACCACAAACGCACTCCCTAAATTTTCCTTACCCCGGTTTAGCAGTGGTTGTTCCTCCCCCTTTTTTTTCCCCCTCCCCCCAATTCTTTTTTGCCGAAAAAGGGCCCAAAGTTCAAAAAACCCACCAACCCTCCTTTTAATTTTTAAATCCAAGGGCCCCCCCCCCCCCGCCCAGGATGCTGTTGGTGACCAGTCCTCCAAAATTCAAAGCACTTGATCTTTGAGAACTTCATGCAAGAAACGACTGGCCCCATAGGCGCGGTCCTTTTTTCTTAACAGCGAAAAAGTGGCCTTTCAAGACTCCCAAAGAACAAGGGTCAAGAAAGAACCGGCTGATCGCAGGTTACTTAATTCTCGACATCCTGCAGTGCACGTGGTTTGTCACGCAACAGAGGATCGTTGCGCAAAATAAAGAACGCTACATTTTGAGATTTTGCACAGCTCTCGTTTCTACAGGTATGATCCGTCAATTCGACCGCACTCGTCGGTTATCTGCTGCACAGCCGTTTTTAGTGTTGTCGGCAATGTTGTCACGTTTATTAGACATATTAAATTCTGCAAGCAGAACCAGTTTTATGCCTGCGGTCAGCTTATATGAAACGCAGGCTCCGTTGAATGCGCAATTTCCGGAGCTCAACTGTGTGAACTGATCATTAAATTTTCTTAATAATTCACCGCTGATTTTCTGCCCAAATCTTCTTCTCGAAAGGTTATATCAAAAAGTAAACGCACGTCCCGCGAACAATAAATTTCAGTCGAACATGTCAGGAACCGACGCAAGAACCTCAGGAATCGTCGTAGTCGGCTTAGGGCGGGCAGGAAAGGCTAGAGTACGAGACTTGAAGCAGAAAGTTTTAGGAGAAAATGCCGTTCTTCGCGGAGTTATCTCAAGGTAAGCTTTCATAGTTACGTTTTGTGCGTTTTAGCGATCTAAAAGAAGGTTAACTAGACTGCGTTTTACTTTGCGTCCTTTATCAAATATTGGACCTTGAATCGATTGGGACTCCGGAGCTCCTGGAGAGATCATCAGTGGGATGTTAACCACGACATGTTTAGTTAAAGGCTCTTTTAAATACTACTGGCATGACAGATTTCCCTACTCTTTCATTTACTTAATGATGAGCTTTTGAAATTACTATCCATTTATACTTCTTACCTGGAGACTGAAAAAGGTACCCCTTTTGTGTTGAGTGTCCGAGCCATCATTGTAGGGAGTAAACCCCCACCCCCAGGGGCCAGAGGACACCCTTAATTTAATGTTTTACCTCCAGAACCTAGAAGAGACAATGTGCCTTTTTGAAAGCCTAGAGGGCAAGGATGTTTCTGAACAACTATCTAAAGAATTCCAGAGCCAAGAACAAATATTGTGTAGAGACAGCTGTTGCCATTTGCTTGATTGCATTGAGAAGTAGAATAAAAATGGATTGAAGATGTGCTTTACAAGAGGTGAAGAAATCAATTAATCAAATGGAGGAGAATTCTGCCTTCCATTTATAGGGCAGTGTATGCCAAAGGATCTGTCACAATCAATGTATAGCATTTTTTACAGATGGAGGGGATGTGGATGTTGATGGTTATGCAATTTTTTAAAATATTTTTTTGGGGGGGAGGAGGGGGATAAATGAGGTGCATTATAGTCTAGGTGAAAATGTTGAAATAAGCTTAATGCAAAGTATGGTATTTGAGCGGATTTTTTATTTTTAACTTCCCAGGCGAAAAGTTGAAGGTGATTTACCTACACTAGACTGGGATGAAGCTTTGAGTAGAGAAGACGTCAATGCTTTAATAATTTGCACAGAAAATGATACCCATGAAGAGTATGCCAGGTAAATTATACAGTGGAACCTGGATAATATGGATGCCATGTCATCCATATTATCCAGGTATCCATGTCAAGCCAAGTCTCAGAAAGAATGTCATGGAGTGACACATGTTTTATCGATAGAAAGATACATGCACACACAAAATGACTCAGCAAAGCCAAAAGCTAAGGAAGTGAATGACTTTGCGTAATTTAAGGAGGCAGAAAACTTTATTAAAGGATTACAGTATAAGGGTCAAGCACCAGACTGACAGACTGATAAAAATAAGTGGGGTTGACAATAGTATTATAAGAGTTTGTGACGACTCAGGACACAGAAAAATGTCCAAAGTCCATATTAGCTAGTGTCTGTATAAGTGGGTTGATTGTGGAGAAAAGATGAGCTTTTTGTGAGGACAAACAAAACTGTCCTTTATAATGTAGGTGTCCTTATTAAGCGGGGGGGGGGGGGGGGAACAAAACAAATTTTTAAAGGGGGTGGTTCCCCCCTGGAGGCCCACCCCTTTTCCTTTTTATTTTTTTTCACAAAAAGGATCCCTTTTTCATATCCACTTTTTTTTTTTTTTTTTTTTATTTTTTTTTTTTTATTTTTTTTTAAAAATTATTTCTTTTTTTATTTTTTTTTTTTTT